CGTTTGTCGTTATCGTCCCCAGACGACACCAAATCGATTATCTGGCGCAGCGACGAAGTGGCGTAGCTTTCCTCGTTGTCTCGGGTCCCCGTCGACATGGGATGCCCTTCTGCACTGCTCGATTTGTCTGCTGAGGGATATTGGGGGTGCTGGTCGGCCGGCAGTCCTCCAAGTCCGTGTCATCCTCGTCCGAGCTGCTTTCCGTGCTCTGCGGGGTTTCGGGAACTATTTCGTCGATCACATGGTGTACACCTTCGTGGACCGCTGCGAATGCAGCACGTACGACACCCTCCAGCACTTCTTTGAGTGCGCCAGGGCGCGACTTCACCGCGAACGACCCAGGCACAAAATGAAACGTGCGAAGCTTGCGCCGCATTGCCTCGCCACTTTGGAGCGGGTTCCCGAAGCGGTCTTCCACGCGCTTCATCATCATGTCGGTGGAGATCACGTCCCTGATGTTGACCGCTACCGGGAACTCGACGTCTTCGTCGCTGTCGACGCGAGTGATGACTGCGCGGCGATATCCTCTCGGATCGCCGCACACGAATGCGCGGCAGTAATACTCTATCTGCTCCCCTGCCTCTAGCGACTCCGGGTCCAGCTCCGTAGCACTGAGACCCGCCATGTTCCTAGTGTGTCTGCTGGGCACCGCGGCGAAGCTTGCTGGTCACCGCGCCTGGCAGGAAGATTCTGGAGTGCGCCACCAGTGTTCACACCGCTGCGAGTGGTCCACACCACCGCCCAAGTTGCAGCGGCTCGTGCATGCTCATCCTGCGGTGTCGGATCTCTTCTGCCCGGCTGTGCGCACCGTGCAGCGGGGGCATCCCAGACTGGCCTGGCCTTGCATCGTGTGCTGGGTTTTACAGTGATTTTCAGGCGGGTACATGTGAACTTAACGTTTTCTCGGACAGCAAATATATGCAGACTCATCAAAAATTACGGACCTAGACTGCCCTTGCTACATCTTTCCCCAACACTGCCTCGTTAGAGTCTGATACTTCAATCATCGGCAGGGAACGGGATGAATATCGTCGATCCCTAACTAATTTCTCCCGAGAATGAATTCTACACGCGAAGCAGTTCCGACAAGTGTCGACAATTGATATTAGTTAAAAAGATTATACTGCCTACGGTAATATGGATACATTCATTTATACTTATACTAAATTCAATCATGTCCCTCACTATACCTCAATTGACTTGCCTCCTGATCCCTCTAATAAGCTAATAGGGGGAAATTGATGGCCTTTGCTTGCTATTCAACTGACGCTTATGACTACGACGATACGGTAGTTGCATTGATGCCGTGCCTCTGACTGAGTCCGTGGTTTACGGTACGGTAGTTGTGTAGTAAACTCAAAAGGTATGGCTCAAGAGATGGCTACATGTTGCCATGTCGTGGATTCCACAAAGTGGATGCACGAACGGAAGCAAAGTACCACTGGCCGTAGCCATCCCCTGGCTCTGAAGAACCTGTCTCCATAGAGAGAGGAAGCGCGCGCCGCACGGAGGACTTGCAAGCAATGGTGCGAATAGTGAGGCAATTCGTCGTGCTGGTCCTCGCCAGCAGTGCAGGAACGCTACTTAACTTGCTTATTTCGGTGGAGATATCGGAGAGCATGACTAATAAGGTCTTGTGATCGTGCAGGTACAAGCGCCGAGTCTACAGCCAACAGCACGGCATCACAGTGTGCCAGGATCAAGACGTGCTATGAAGGCGGCGTGTCTACCGTACCCTGCAGCGTCGCCACCGGTGAGTGTCCACCATGCGTCACCTTCACGGATGACGCCTGCTACGTTAAAGTGGACGGCTCCTGTGCGTTCGGAGTCGACTGTTCCAACGTCTTCTCAATCATTAGCAGCACAAGCTCTAGCAACAGTGCAGCATCCAGTACAACGGATACATCTGTACCTTCGACGACCACAGAACCGACTTCCGTGTCCGCGTCGCGAACCGGAGATGGCGTCGCTGGGGGTTCATCTAGCGAGACCGACTCCGGTAGCGATGACTCGAACACGGTCTTGATTGTTGCCATCCTCGCTGTGGCACTTGGGGTTGCGCTGCTGGCAGTGATCTTACGGAAGCTTTTTCTTCGTGCTCGCGCCGGGAGCGAGGAGAACCAGGAGGAGGTGCCCTCGCCACCGGCCACGGTGACTACGGCCAGCTTCTCTAGCAATGGCACAAGTCGCGACCCGGGAATCATGATCTCACGCAGCGCCATGGGGACTGACCTGAGCGTGGCGTCGAAATCAAGCGGCGTGTAGACGAACACAGAGCGCTCCGACACATACTGAACTGCGGTGGACCATATCTTCTACAACCAGGTAGCCTGGTACGTCAAATACACGTTGTGATTAACGTGCATCGCAACGTTGGCACGACAGAACTTCAATTCGAGAACTACTAGCGCAACCTGTTGGACACAATGGCGCAGCCAACTTTGTCGAACGCTTAGAAATAGTTTGACGGACCAGGGATTTGCGTATCCTACCGGTATAACGCAGCAAATGCAGACGACAAGCGACGGTCTTACCGCACAGGAAGGTGTCCTCTTCTACATTAACCCACAGCAAGCTACACAACACTCTCGGAGCCTCAGCAGCGGCGCCGGCCTTGCAGGCGTATTGCAAGTCTCATTGACATGCAATTGTCACCGCAAGTTGAGCTCTGCCGTACCGTAGCGTGATTCGGTGTTGCCCTACCCTACATCTCTTTTCATCCAATCACCATGGCTTTTAAGGAGAAAAGTCGCATAAACGCTGCGAAAACTGGCTTGCGATCAGTCGTCGGAGCCAATCGGAGCGTGCAGATTCGAGTCAGCTGCGATGCACGACGGGTAGAGGAGACTCCCGCAGCATCGGTCGCCAGTGCACTAACCACCGCAGTGAGTCGCAGTCCCCCACCACTACATCGCCAGCCAGAGCTTCGTTCCGAGTTCGGCTTCCGCGTCGTCGTGGTACCAGAAAGAAACCCCGAGAAAAGAGCGACAAAGGAACAGGAAATCATCGCCCGGCGCTAGGGATCCGTAGACACAGGTCAGCAAAACAGGCAACAGACTCCAGATAGAACCAAATGCAGACTTCGTCGTGGCTTCTCGTCGCTGTCGCGGCACTCGCCGGTTCAGCTAACGGTGCCAACGCGGCGAACGCCGTCTTCATGGCCAGCACATCGCAATGTTCGTCCGTCGACACATGCTACGAGGGCGGCGCGTCCTCGACGCCCTGCTCAGTCTCGAGCGGCGGCTGTCCGCCTTGTATCACGTTTGCGGATGACGGTTGCTACGTCAAGGTGGATGGCTCCTGTCCTTTCGGTGTGGACTGCTCGTCCGTCTGGGGATCATCCACTACTACTTCCAGCGGCAGCACGTCCACTACGACGTCCAGTACCACAGGCTCCACTCCCAGTACGTCAACGTCCAGTACGGCGGGATCGTCGACTTCTACGACGGCTGGAACGTCCTCCCAGACAGGCTCGAACACCAGCGGCACGGCCGGCGTGGCCTCGTCCAGATCGACTGCGTCCAGCACTTCTGGAAGCAGCAGCGCCGCGGCGGGAGACTCCAGCAGTGGCGGATCCGACATGAGCGTCGTGTTCGCCATCATCGGCGCGGCCATCGGCGTCATCGCCGTCGCTGTGATTTTCCTGACGCTCGTGCGTCGCTCCAAGGCCGCGAGTGAAGACGAAGACGACGAGATGCCCAACGCTACGCCAGCCTTCGCCAAGAGCCAGGGCCCACACAGCACGACGGGCGCCGCCATGTACGCGAGCTACAACGGCAACAACCGCGTGGGCGGGGTGGGATCCGGTACGGGCAATGAGATCGGCCTGGACATGTCCAAGGGCGTCTCTATGAACGCCGTGAGCTACTACAACCAGCAGCCTCCACAGACCTCGACAGCGCCGTCGCCCCGCGTGGCAGGGCGCGCTATTCCGTCGCAGCCGGTGGGTATGAACCAGAGCGCCGGCATGGCCCGTCCCTATGGCGGCAGCCAGAACTTCGGCGCTTCGGGCGTGGGCGTCACGAATGGAATGGGAGCGGCGGGTGTCGCTGTGGCGAACCAGGCACCGCCCGCACCAGTGCAGCACCACCCCATGGGCGGCGTAGCGCCGTCTCCGCACACCCGAAGAGAGTCATACGAGTTCTAACCGAAATATGGTTGGAACGAAACAACGTAACTAGTCAAAGGAGTCGAGGAACGCAGGTCGAGAGCACATGTACAGACACAGAGAGTGGAGGAAAGCTGAGAACTCTCTTTTTGACTCGGAAGAGTGGTGTATTCAAAATACGGTTTTCTTGTGACAATTTGTGCTGCAGCTTAGCAATTTGCCGTTTTGTTATCATCACTTGCAATCGTCTATTTTGTAATTGTGAAATTCTAGTTGATAAGTTCTCGAGCTCTTGATCAAGTTCAGGCGGCTGCCTTCCCGTACACGTCTTCCATGCGTTCAATTGGCGACTTTGGTAGCGTAGTTCCCCATCGACTTGTATTGCAGATTCCGTTCGCCTGGGCCTTCTGCGCGTCCGTGGATGTTAGACAAAATGCCGATCCGTACAAGTGCATTGGCGACAGAACTTGAGATTTCGTCCAGTCCGGCAACACCGCCACCTTGGTGCCTTCCATGCTCAAGTCTCCAATCGTGAAGGTCGAATCGATAGTAGGAGGTAACGCCATCAACGGAGCACCGTCCAGAGTGAGTTGAGGCAAGAACGTGTTTGTCACTACAGCCAACGTCGGGATCTGGAAAAGGAAAAAGTTGCCAGCGAGCGACAAAGATTTCACGGGGAGTTGGAACGTCTCGGCCGGGACAGTAGCAGGACTGAGAATGCCGTACTCGAAGCCAACACGTCCGATTAAGGGTCGATCGGCACCACCCCATTTGGTACCGAGATCACTGGGCAACGACGGTAGCAATGTAGCGAAGAATTGGAGGTTAACCAGTGAGTAAGGAAGAACTCCCAAGAGACCTTCGGGGAATGCTGTCATTTTGACACTGATGAGCACAATACTCTTGAGTCGTGGGTGGAATTCCTGAGTGAGCGCGGCATTGGCACCCCAGGAATACAGTGCAGTGTTGAAGATCTGTACGCTATGAAGCTGGGGGAAGGTCTGGATGACACTCGGAACCATGAGAGCAGGGCAGTTGACGAAGTTTAGACTGCCCAGCAGATCCGGGTCCAAGTTTAAAGCCTCGAAGGCTTCGTTGGTAGGGGACATGGCGGCTTGATCGACACAGTTGAATACGAAAGCCAGACACGAGACTTTGGAGCTGAACCATGGACGGGTAGTCTTGAAACAGCCAGTTGGCATTGTCTTGTGCTGGGATTGAGCCTTGAGGTGGAAGGCAAGCACAAGAATGCCCCATACAAGGCAAGAAAACTTGACCAAGGTGAACACCCAGGTACAGATCGAGTGATTCGCCGTTGCATTTGAGGCATTTTCTGCAGTGCGAGACTCTCCCAGAGCTTTCGTAGACGTCCCAGTTTCCAGTCGAGCAGGCTCTGAGGTTCCTTCCGGCGTATCTAACGTCTCCACAGTGACATTCACACTTGGATCAATTTTTGCACTGGCATCGGCACAAATGTCTGGGGTGACCTTCTCGCCTCGACGAGAAATGACTCCTTCCAGCATCACTAGGGACACAAAACTGCCAAGAAGAGGTAGGAACTTAGAAACAAAGTCCCCCACAGTAGTAGCAAACATCATCCTGTTCTCGGGTGTCAGTACAGCCAGGAAGGTCGGATCGTAAATCATTTTTGTAGCGAAGGTCACCTTGTCCATACTGAAGACATCACTGTATTGAATGTACACGAGAGACTGCATCACTTTGGCCAGGAAGGTGCACAATATAAAGCTGCTGAGAAGCGAAGTAGCACGACTATGAGCAATCGATTTACGGAGGAGGATCTGGATCAGCGGGGTCAACCAGCACGCGACGATCAGAACTGCTGCGTTGAGGTTGTTGAGCTCCACGCGCGGTACCAACTTGCTTGACTGGTATGCTTGGTAAGACAGACACCCCAAAACCACCAGTTCACGAACAGCAAAGACCACATCGAAGTAGCAGAAACCAGACTTGCACTCGTCATTGCAATACGAATTTGAACGTTCGCAGTGGAGCACCAGTCGCTTGTTTCGGATTGACAGGTAGAAGATGCGGAGAACTTGAAGCACGTGCAGCGCGGCGATGGCCAAGTAAATGGCACCGAAAGCTTTGAAGTGTTTGAAACCCGTGTCGGACCATATTGGAGCGTAGGAGGCGTTCTCAGTTGTTGTCATTGCGAAGTACGTTACCGCCATTACGACGAGATAGAGAATACATGCGCTGTGGAAACCGAGGAGCACTAGCCACGTCAGGTAAAAGACAAGGGGAGTGAGCCCCAACACGGTGCCTTGAGCCCCGCTTGTACCCGGGCCCGTCTTCACCATGGCTCGGCGTCCTGGAAAAGCTTGAAAGGTGTTCAAAGGTGAGTATTGCGTTATGATGAAACATGTCGAGCTTGAGCTGGGGTCAGAATCGACAAACTAAAAACAGGGCAGGAGACAACAACGAGTAATCTAAATGAATCGTCACGTGCCTACTAAAATAAATTCCGACGCATCTAAGAAAAAATGTTTGTTGCTGCCAAAGTTAGCGGCCACTATTATAAGGGTATCAATAGTTTTTAGCGGTCATTTCTTATCAGCAGCATTTTCTTTTCTATTGATGGAAGTGTGAATACAATCTGTCGCGATGAGAAACCGACATTACTTTTTTTATATGCCCGAGTTTTGTTGGCTCAGATGAGCGACAATACATGCTCTGGCGGAATTATTGCATCCGCTATTTATTATTAATGAGTAACAGTACGTGGAGTTGGTCGCTAGTTTAGAAAACGACTGGAGTAGTTCCGATCTTTCTCCCAGCGCTTCAATCGATTCTTTGGCATAGTATTTAACTTCATGATGGCGAATCCAGTGCCACTTAGTGAGATCAAGAAGCGCTCCACAGTATCCGACAGCGCGCGAAAACTCTCGATACCTGTGTTCAAGGCTGGAAAACCTGATGAAATTGCGTATCAGAGAGCAGCTACCCACGAGAAAACGATGCAGAGATTCCAATTACGAAAACTGCCCAGTGATCGAGCCCACCTGTCAAACTTTGGTAGTGATAAACGCGTCATAATCGATAAGGCTTTCGATGCTAGACCCTCCAAGAATCACCGATTCTCGCTCCACCGTTTCTTGAAATCGGCTTTTGGCCGAAAGGCTAGGAAACGAGCACTTCGAGTGGTAACGTCGCCGATCACCCCGGACAGCTGGACCTACACAGTACATGGTATCGTCATGCTACTGGTCTACCACTTTCAGCTACTTGACCTACCGTTTGCTCCAAGTTTCTATCCCAACGGTTCATACGTGACGACGGTGAAGGCAATGGTGTTCGAAACACTATTTCTGCTTGATCTCCTGCTTACGTTAAACACCGCCTACATCGACCAAGGGGTCCTGGTGACGTCTCGACGGAAAATGCAAAGCAATAATTCCCCAAAGGGGTCCCAACCCAATTAACAACCGCAATCCCACTCCAAGCCGCGCATTGCTTGGTAACAGGCTCCATTGACAAGACTGACCCAATCGTGCGAGACTTTCAGCTCATTTTAATGGCATTGAGGCTACTCAGAACGACACTCTTCGAGAAGGGTATGTTATTTGGTCGCGTCATGCGTGTGGCTCACCACCTCGTTGAGTGGGTCCGCTATTCACGTTACTCTCATTTACTGGGAATCGCACAGCTCATGTGGTTGGTGCTACTCATTGCGCACTATATGGCGTGCTTATGGCACGTTGTAGCTGGTCACCACACCGGAAATCAGGGAGAGATGTCCATAGGGGAGCAATATATGGCCGACTACTACTACGCTGTTAGTCTCATCCAGGGACAAGGCAACGGTAGTGGCACATGGGAGGAAAACATGTACTCTTCCGTCGCTATCATCATCGGATCTGTTATTGTGGCTATTGTGTTTGGCAACGTCGCCATGCTCGTATCCAATTTCAACGCCAACGAAACCAATTATCATCGCAAGATGGAGGCTGTGTATGCTACGATGGACAAGATGGGTCTGCCTTTGGAGCTTCGTGCACGCGTCAATGAATACTACACACACGTGTGGTTGGAATATGAGGCATTGGACGGGAGTATTAACAAGTTCCAGCAGGAACTGACACATACTCTTCGTATAGAGATCGGACTGTATAAATTTATGAACTTGGTCGTGAAGATCCCCTTCTGGGAGGACTGTACGCCCGATTTCCTAACGCAGATCGTGCTGAATCTCGGTGTTCGGGTGTATATGCCTGATGACTATGTGGTTCGTCGCCGTGAAATTGGAAACGAGATGATGATGATCAATCTCGGGTACTGTAAGCTGTCGAAACCGAGAAAGCGTCTGGCCGATGCCGTTGATATTGTCCAGCATGAAAGCTCTCCAGTAAGTGGTAGGCCTGTCCTGGCTCGGCAAAATACTGCAACTGACAGCGAGTTAGAATGCTATGACGGTAGCGACGATGAAAACAGCGAGTGGGACGAGGAAATGTCCGAAGATGATTCGGAGGACGAATTGGCAATCCAGCCGCGCCGTGCTACTCTAAATGGCCGCGGATCTGCCTTTGACCTCCTTATTAGGAAGCAAAACTCTCAAAAGAAATTTGACCCCTCTCAACCACGGCGAAGTAGTAATCCCAGTAGTGCACGTATAAAGCAAGAGCCGACATTCGTCTACCTTAAGCCAGGTCAAGCATTTGGTGAGATGAGTCTGCTTATGAACTACAAGCGACAAGCTAGTGTCCGTGCTGTCACGTTCATGGAGATGTGCGTTCTAGACCGCAAAACGTTTCAGCAGATTATTTCACGCTACCCAGAAGATCGACGCAATGTTTTGACAAAAATGCTCGAGAATTGCATCGAGAAGAAAGAGATTCCATTACCTTGGGAGAATATCATCGAAGCTGTGACTGCAAATCGTCGTAAAAAAGGGTATAAAGACACCTCTCGAGCCAATGTGGTTGCGACGATAACTTCAGCTGAGGCAGCTAAAGTCTTGGTCAAGGCGATCGATGTCAATGTGCCGGACGAATCCATCAAGTACGGCTTTCAGAGCTTTGATCACGCTTTTGTTGACGATTCCTCAATTCGCCGAGTGAATTCTGTACGAGCCAAAATCCGAGATACTCTGCAGCGTTCTAACAGTGAAGTCACCAGTCGAGTCAGCTCTTTTCGATCGAATTCAAGTCGGAATTTGACTATAGACAGCAGTAGAAGTGCAACGTGTGAATTGATGGATCAAGATACTGAACCGCCGGAGGGATCAACTAAAAGTGGAGAGAACTCGGATAAGACGCTAGAAAATATCCTTTCGCTTCTCCAGAGGATGTCAAAGGATATTGGTAAATTACAGCAGGATATGAAAGAAGTGAAGAGTCAACATTGCTATCATGACAGGGACTGTGAAGTGCTAGGATATATTCGATCCTTATCGGCTAACGTGAAGTACACACCCGATAGTATCGAAACAGTCAAGATGAAGAGTGAAACTGCGGCAGAATCGTTCGATCACGTAGAGCTTCATTCTAAAGTATTTCCAGCCGAATCGTTAAAACCCAGCGCCCCTCCCGTGGTATCAGCAAGTCTCGAATATGAATCAAGAACCCCCTATCCCAGTCGCGTTGACGATAATACTACCGCAGGAGATCGAACACCGGATAATGCTTCTCAACGGGTGCATGTTACGTCAGTCCACAAGTCTGTTATCCCCACCGAAAGCAAGCGGCTGTTGCGAAGTCCTCACTATGAGCGTCGTCACGCTAGTCTTTCTAAGCGTCGGAGCTCGGGGCGGTCGTCACCTCTTGCTGATCTGCTGTGGAAGCGAAATCACGCATACAATGACCAGGCAAGAGACTCGGCCAAGGCAAGCAGACGTCAGCGCCAGCTCAAAACGCGACACAGCATGCCGGCGGGTGTTGTGGCTGATATAACACAAACTGAAACAAACGTAACACAGCCACATGAAGGTATGTTTGGCATCTCCACCGATAACGACACTGCAACACAGCAACCTAAGCGCCATCGTGGTTATGCACATTTCGGCCGAGTTTCTTCAAACATGGATCCGCGATTTCTCAAGATCGATGAGTAGCCTCGCTGTAGTCTTTAGAGTGGTAGTTATAAGGCTTGATCGCATCAGCGTCACCGGATCTGGGCATCATCATTAACCGGTATCAGAGGCAATGTCCACCATTGTGATCGGACACACAGGATAACAAACCGTAGGAAAGATCACTAGTCTTGCCAGGACTTTTGAATCCTCCCGAGTTAAAACGTTTTACTATGAAAACGGGGTTGAAAAAGCCGAGGAAATAGCAAGCTTCTTCCTTGGTGGTTTCTTCGAGCCCACTTTCATTCCCCCACCAAAACTGAAGCCGACTTTTGTCGTCTCTGTAGATTTCTCCTTTCCACCAATGTCACTTTCTGCAACAACTGCAGTCTCGTTCGTCGCCTTGGATTGGGCAGCTTGTGTTATCCTCCTCTGCAACATCATCGCTTCCTGCTGCTGTTCCTTTCTGCGCTTTGAAATTTGTTCTTCCTCTGATCCTACGCGTCGTTTCCGCTGCTGCAACTCCCTAAGCCTTTTGGTGTGGTGGTGGTCGTACGAACTCAAATGGTTTTCCATCTCGACCACCGTCTTGTACTGTTTCCGACAATCAGCACAATAGAACGCAGCCTGCATGTTCTTGACCAGTGCTTTGATCTGCTCTTCCTTCGCTCCTTTGGCCTCCCGAACAGCGGTTTGCTCTGCTGTCTCCTCCACTTCTGTGTCCATTTTACGACGTTCGCTTGTGGCCAACTGTGTTACTTTGTCGTACTCTTCCTGCACCAATAATTAATTATGTTAAATACTACTGTTGCAAAATAGGATATTATCTGCTTAACAAACTCACCGCTTTGCCAAGACCAAGGCAAACGAGGTTTTCTTTCATCTTAAGGGGCTCCACGATGCCTGCAAGAAAATGCGCTTCAGTTTTTCAGAGACAATTTTTATTTTACCGATTGACACGAACCTTGCTCGCGCTTGCCCAAGCCGGAGCCGGAGCGCCATCCCATTTTCACCAACAAGCGGTAACCGCAGTTGGACGCGTCCAGCGCGCGCTCCGTGGACGGAACGAATGGCGCGTCGTCGATCTCCATGGCATTTATTAATATGTGCAAAGATGATTACTTGGAGGAATTTCATGCAGTTTTTGCTACAATATAAGGTGCGGTCTTCTATTTGGTAAATATCTAGCGTTGACAAAATTATGGAGCAGTCGCTACCGGTTCGTTCTAAATAAGTACCGGTTCCGGCCTCACGTACTAGTGAAATTGTGGGTTTAAAATAGCGTTTTATCCACAATCCAGTATACCGATATACCGACCATGTCGAAACGTTAACCCCTTTTTAACAATAATTGTTAGAAAGGGTTAACGAAGTAGAGGACTACAAAAAATGGCACGAGACCTGTTGGCTTAGAGGCCACGTTACTTGTGGAAGCAGCTATAATTCCAAGTTCCAAATGGCGTGGTTGTCTCCATCAGTGGCTACTCGGCGCTAGAAAAAAACTAAATAAATCAAAGAACAAAAACTTGCGGGACCTCGGGGCCCCGCCAATCGCTTCAATTGGCCTGGAGTACTACCGATCTAGTAACGACGGAGGCTATCGCGCCAGCATTTCCGAAATATTGCCGCCGGTTCATTTCCGAATCCGCCGCCATGGAGATACTGCAAAAACTGGTACTGCTAATGACAATAGTGGCCTCGGCCATGTCGCTGTGTCTGTCGACGGAACTTCGACTCTTTCCTGCGCAATCAGCGACTACTCACCGTCGCAACAAGAAGTTTACCTTCTCGGGTATTCAAGTCTGCTACTCGCTCGACTCCTGCTACAACAACATCGCCGTCAGTGCGGCCTGGCGCAACGCTCCGCACGGTACTCGTTTCGCCTTTTACGAAGGCAGCGGGTGTAGCGGAGATTATCTCCGGATGCAAGACATCGTGGCCACTGGCAGCGTTGATTTCACCAGAATGAACTTTGCGAACAAGCTATCGTCATTCATGCTTTTGGGCAAGAGCAACTACGCCACGGCTGGGATGATAGAGATCTGCCACGACGAAGGCACCGTGATCACTAAAGCTACACCAAATGGAACGGTTGAGAATTAGGAGCCCGATTCAATTGGCTGCTCGTCGATACTTCCATGACGCGGTACTTAAGTATCATTCTTTGAGCCTCTGGCGACTATCTAAATTTTATAACGGCTGTTCCGCTGATCGCCATCCAGCAACGGCCGACCAGCGAAATGTAGTGGTTGCGGTAGTAAAGCACACCCCAGTGGCTTGTGCTCGACGACGCACTGTAATACACTTATTTCGCTGTTTTAATAGCTTAAAAGCAACACCGTCACCTCCGCCTTGCCACCCAGGAACTCCCGAGCGTCTTCATCTCGGGTTGCACTAGGACCACAACCGCTAAAAATGAAACACCACCACTAATCTTATCACCTCGAAGACAAGGACACAGAGTCCTCAGCCGCAATACGATCAATGGCTGCGTCTACAGCAACAAGAAGGGTGATAATGAACTACAGTAGAAACTGCGAGTCCACCATGACGATGATGAGGCCATCAAGTGTTCGTTAAAAGGACAAGACATTGTTAATGGAGCCCCCAAGCGAGAAATCAAGAACGGTTTTAATGGTGAGCTAAGCGACCTCGTTGTTTCGACGCAAATCGATGCCTTTCTAAAGCATGAGACAACATGAATGAGCTTGCGTCAACGACTTTGCCTCCAGCAAGCGTTCTGAATCATTGACAGCACTGACCTCCAGGAAATTAAATGAAATCGCTCGCACTTCTTACAGCACAGTGCTCATCCAGAGTGCCGACGGCGTTAACCGCTTAGAACACAACAAATCATTCACAAGTATTCGCATCTAGCTACTTCGAGCCTGGACAAGCTGCTCGGCCTAAGACCAGTGCAACGCGAGCGTACAATTGTCAGGGACAAACTGTCACGGGGCCGACGCTACGATCTTCACCGTTCCGCGAAAGGCGGTACGTCTAGGGTGTGCTTAGTCGAGGAATTAATAAATTTTAATCCCGTCGCTGGCGACAACGTCTGGATCGACGATAGTACACCCCCGAAAACTCTTGGCCAGGAGGTCCAGCCTTGCGTTTGGTGTTTGGCTTCCTCCCTAAAAGCCGAGAATGCTATGCTATCTCATTTACGGGAAGTTCAGAGCTACGGATACTGCGGCAGCGAGATACTGCATACCTTTCGGAGCGCTAAGCGGATCCCTGTACACAAACTGCATGAACATGTAGCGTCTGCTAGACGGTCTAACCGTCGTTAGACTCTCACGTTGAGGCTGGTCCAAATGAGTTGCGTCTGGCCAGGTTCGGACATGATACGCCGCGTGCCCCGGAGAGACATGCGACTCGATGTCTGCGCTGCAACAGGCAATGGTGCTGTGTGTATTGTATCGCCGTGCCGTGCGGCGCAGGGGATAATTCTGAGTACCATGGCCTTCTGCCTGCTGTTAAACCAAGATGGTTACCATCTTCAGATCGCGACTGCCATCGCCCATCTCCGGCCAAAAATGTGCCCGGCACAATTTCGCAACCTTTCGTCCATTTTGATAGGCTGCCCCGGTCCAAATCGGAGGGTACGTTCAACTGTACATGCAGCTCTGATTTCGATGTGACGCGGCGCCAGTTTCCAGGCTGGCGACTTGGACACGGAGTCACAGTTAAACGCGCTGCCTGTCCAAGAGATCGAGTTCCGTCCCGTTCAGTTTCGATGAGTCGCTGCCGTCGTGCGTGGCTGCTCGCGGCCGCATCGGCTGCAGTCCTGGCCGCCGTGAACGCCAACGCCTTGAGCTCCATATTGGCCTCTGAACGCGTGCTGGCCGAAGAGGCCGAAGACGATGACAAGACGGTGCCTTTCAACTCATGGAACAACGTCCCCGACACGCTGAGTCACTTGCTGGCCTTCGTGCTCGTGCTGCTTGGCGCACACCCGCTCGGACTCTTCTTCCCCAGGTACTTCCACCTACCGCTCATCACTGGGTACTTGGTGGCCGGTATTTTGTCGGGTCCGTTCCTGGCCAACCTGTTGAACGAGGACGTCGTGGACATGCTCGGGTCGTACGTCAACGCCTTCGCGCTGAGCTTCATCTCGTTCCAGGCTGGTCAGGAGATCTACCTGCCGGAACTGCGACCACAGATCAAGTCGATCGTGGCGCTACTGTCCACTTACTACTGCACGGCAATGGTGCTGGGCACCAGCGTCTTCATGCTGGCTGCCGGCGCTTTCTTCTACTCGGACCTGGCGAACAGTTGCCAACTGGGCATCGCGCTCATGTTCGCATCCATTTCGGTGCTCGTCTCGCCGTCCACCGTCATGGCGCTCAAGATCGAGCTCAACAGTGTCGGTCCCTTTACGCACTTGGCACTCGGCACCTGCATGACGGCGGAATTCGTTGTGCTCGTGTCTTTCTCCGTCTCGCGTGTCATCGCGTCCATCTACTGCGCCAAACTGGACGTGTCCCCAGAGAGCATAGCCTTCACTATGGGAGTCGTACTCATGAACCTCGTACTGGGGGCTCTGCTAGGCCTCGTGATAATCCTCATCTTCCAGATACCGAACGGCAAACCGGACGTGATCACGGCTTCGTCATCCCTACCTGCCCACGGGGTCTCAGTCTCTTCCAGCGCAGCATCAAGGATCTCGACTTCACACTACCAAAAGAAGATGCAGCAACGCACGAGCAGCAAGCCGGACATGAGCGACCAGGAGCAGATAAGTGACGACCCGAACCAAACTCCTCACCCTCACAACGCCTACGTTGAGGAGACTGACACTGACAAGTCTCCGTGGTGGACAGAAGGCAAGGCACTCTGCCTCAAGGGCTTCATCTGGCTGTTGGTAGGCTACCTGTTCTACCTCTTCACCAACACACTCAGTGAGCTCACTACTGCACACTTTGGACTCGTGTGGCAAGTCAAGTTGGAGGCGTTGCTGGTTCTCATGCTGGCATCCTGTGCGGCTGGTCACTACGCCGCCATCCGCCCGCAGATGCACGTCATCCTGGATACTGTGGCTCCGTACATGTTCCTGCCATTCTTCGTTATGACAGGAGCGTCCCTGCAACTGGATAAGGTGCTGGATGTCATCCCGTTGATGAGTTTGTATCTGCTACTTCGCTACACTGCCATCTTCCTGGCCATATACGGAGGTGGACGCTTCCTGTTGAAGCTGCCACCTCGCCACTACAAGCACTTGTGGCTCACGATGGCCCCTCAAGCTGGCGTCTCACTCGGGTTGGCTGCCGAGGTGAAAGAACTCATCACCGACGAGTGGGGATCCGAGTTCGCGGCAACTATCGTGGCTGCAGTGGTGATCAACCAGGTCATCGGGCCTGTATTGTGTTCGATAGGTCTCCGTGGAGCTGGAGAGAGTATGATTGATCGCCAGGCCGCAGCGGCTCAGATCAAGTCGCAGTCTGAGCCAGACAAAACTGGCAGCGAGTTTGATGTCGAAGCTGGTAAGGGATCCGTCGATCGCATCGCGTCATTCCGGAGTCTCAGTCGCCACAACAGCGCGCAAACTTTGTTCTCTACTCGCAGCAGCAGCAAAGACCCCAGACCGTTGCTACCATTCTATCGTGTGCAGAGTGCTGTGGTGCTTGGAGACGATGAAGTGGCGTTCGAGATTGCACTGGAGTTGTCGCTTTACGGTGCTCGTGTGAATGTCCCGCTACTTGATGAAGCTCGTGCCGACAAGTGGCGCCGCGTGAACGAGACCATTCTACAACGCACCGCCAAGGGCGAACTGATTTCGTTCCAGAATACCATCCAGGACCGTCACGGTGACGCTCCTGCAGACTCGGGGATGCAAAATGCCGACGTTCTCATCTTCACGGGTGCTCCAGAACGTTCATTGGAACATGCTAAGGTCATGCAGACGATGCTGGGTGAACATGCTCGGCCGCGGTTGATCGCCGTGGTGGATGACTGCGCTGCTGGAGCTCAATTACGCGAGCTTGGAGTGCTCACTGTACAACCGTCCATCGCCCTCGGTAACATCGTGACGCGTCTCGCGTTGCTGGATGCACCACTCGCTGCCAATTTGTCCAAAGAACTCAGCTCTGCCAGCAATTTCTCTACTGCCGCATACTTCCGAGGCGACGTTGATGGAGACCGCGACTCGGTCGCCTCTCTTTCCGAGCTGCGTCTGCCTACACGTCGCATGACCCTCGGACGCAGCGTCGTCAATCACCACTCAGTTGACTACGACCGCTTGGCCGAGACGTTGGCCGCCGAAAACCTGCCGATGCCGCCGCCTCCGTCGCGTGTGTCCATGTTCGGTACCTCGGCTGTAGAGCACGATCCGTTCGCTACGCGCTCGAGAAACCTCGGCGCTCATGAGCTCTACGTGGTGGAAGACGAGGGATTCGACACCGATGATCGCTCGATCTTCGAGGATCAGTTCATGGTGCCGTCTCCAACCTCCAGTGGCGGAGGTGGACGACGATCCGTATCGGGAAGACTGCCACGACGTCGATCACGACTTGGCTCGACTAGCAGCAGCGTCGGTGGAGGCACCGGATACGTCACGCTGCACCGTGGCCAGTCCACTGGCCTGTAGTGTCTTCAGTAGATGACTGCGCTTGTTTGGGCAGCAGAACTAAGCGATAAGTATTGATTTTGATGCAACGCGGTTGAGGTGGTGGTGCTGGTGGTGCATGCAGCAGCACTTCATGCATATGTAAGAGCACTAGTTTCATCTGCTTGACGTTGAAGTTTGCCAGAAAGCAAAAAGCGAGCAGCTTGTAAAAGGCTATCCCAAGAGGAGGCAAGACACGTACATTTGTATGTGCACAACCAAGCTCAGCCACTACATTTGGCTGTTGTGCATGCAGCAGAGCTGTGCGTACCGGTAGACGAAAGGCTCAGCTAGCGAAGTCCGTCACTGTAGTCGAGCGTGACACCATTTCGACAGTAGAACGTGGTACTGCACCGAGCTGGTGGCCGGAAATAGCACTTCTATTGGCAGCATACCAAGACACAACAGCTACATGCACAGCAGCGACTGCATTTATCTCGATGCTCGTTGCTGCCTGTTGATATTTCACGATAACCAAGTTGTTGACAAAATTCAGGCGCGCTGAACACCACGCCGGACTTATCCCCGTGTCTCAAAGATACATGACATACTGGACTCGCCGCTTAAGTACGACGCGTATGTCATCTGGAACTTGTCGGCATTTTTTTTTGGTCGCTAATCCCTCGCCATCAAGCAGCTATTATACGTCAGCAGCGGACAGCGGTACGTTCAACGCGCTGGCGGTTCGTCGCATGGCGATTGCTGCCAATAATACTGGCATCTAACACTTTTGTTGTGGCTATTTGCAGCTGCAGACTCGAGCTTTCGCATTCCAGAATTGGCTTCCAGCACGAGTCCAACATGGCGACTGGCAAGCGCTCGGAAGCTCCGAGTGAGGCCGTGCAAGTCCAGCAGAAACACCCACAGCAGCAACTTGATGGCGTCATGGGCGTTGATGATACGGTCGTAGCGGAGCCGCAGGAACCGCTGCTTCCGATGCATTCTTACAAGCAAATGGCCGATGGTGACCAGGCCGAGAATGAAGATGCAGACACCAACGCCACTGCCGTTCTGCGTGAGAAACTGCTGATCCCCAAAGTTCGCACCTTCTCCATGCTGGACGCCGCCTCCACGTCGCAACTGGGCAGATATTTAGAGGACGAGGAAGCGTTGCATCCGCCCCTCGAGCCCGTGGGCAGTAGCAGCTCACTGCACACATCTCTACTGAGCTCCAACGGGTCAGCAGTGCCCCGCCCGCCACACAGCAAGAACCTCGTGCTGGACCCCGAGTCCAATGGATCCGTGCTCCAGGCCGCGGTCTCGTCAGGCGCCGAGGTCGTGGAGGTCGTGGCCGAGCAGAGCTGGCTCATCACCAAACTCGCAGTGCAGCTCATCTGGGCGCTACGCATGTCCAAGCGCTGGATCCTGTGCGCACTGCGTCTGATCTCGTTCGTCTTCCTGCTGCTGCCCCCGATCGTCAAGGTTGCGATCTATTGGTTTTTTGCTGAAAATGTGCACAAGAACATCATCTACGGCCTCAACCGACGTAACCTGCTGGATGTGTACACAGTGCCGCAGGTGAAGAAAAAAGAGGGGGACGACGTGGCGTCTCCGCCGACCAAGTCGCGCAGTTCCAGCGTCGCCAGCACTGGCAGTGCGAGCTTCACGGAGGCGAGATATCCTGTCGTCGTGTTTGTGTCTGGAGGAGCGTGGATCATTGGGTACAAGGCGTGGGGCGCTCTCATGGGCCGCGTGCTGGCATCTCTGGGCGTGGTGGTGGTCATGCCCGACTACCGCAATTTTCCGCAGGGTGTGGTGCCCGACATGGTCGAGGATGTGACGCGTGCCATGCAGTGGGTATTTGACAACATTCACCTCTTTGGCGGAGACCGCGAGAACGTGCATCTCATCGGCCAGTCGGCCGGCGCGCATCTTGCCATGTGCACGTTACTAGAACAGGTAGAGAAGAAGCGCAGCGCTTCAGTTAACTCGGCAGCGTCACCAAGTAGCAGCGTCGGCGGCATGGGCAACACTTCGGATTGCGAAAGTATCGAGAGTTTGTCACCTTTGGCTCAGCCGATCACGTGGAATCTGCGTCAGATTCGCAGCTACATCGGCATCTCCGGGCCGTACAATATGGAGGCCAGTATTGCAACTTTCCACCGCCACGGCTTCGACCGCGCGGTGGTGGAGCGCATTATGGCGCACCGGTTGGCGTACTACTCGCCGTCCTTGCGGTTATTAGCGCTGAGCGAACTGCCGTCGAGGACACGTCATGCGTTGCTGCAAGACTTCCCGCCGTGTTTCCTGTTCCACGGAACGGCTGATAAGACGGTGAGCTACAGGTCGTCAGAGCAGCTGACAGCAGCACTCCAGTCCTGTAGCATCCCTGTATCCACGCGCTTCTTCGAGGGTAAGACGCACACAGACCCGATCATCGAGGACCCGATAGTCGGTGACGACTTCCTGCTGGACGACGTGATGGCCGCGCTGAAGGCGCAAGCGCCGGTCGACCCGATCACCGGCAAACCGCGCTACGAGCTGGGTGCGCGGCCGCAGGAGAAGCGATTCTACCCCAAGCTTCTCGTGCGTGTAGCTCGCAAGATTAATCCGTTCTAGAACGCGTGCAGTAGAGCACAGATAGTAGGGAGGCAGGCCATTTCGAAACGCACATATATATTCCTTTATTGTTAAAACAGGAGAGGAAACGGCTCGCCCAGTTAGTTGGCCGCCTATTAAAGTGGCGGGCGATCTCACTTGCCCATGCGATTCTTGAAGGTGACGACCGCACCGATGAGTACGATGGCCAGCACACCGGCAATTGTGGGACCCGCGAAAGACATCATCGTAGGACCCTTGTGGTGCGTTGAAGTCGATGTTTCTGCGGTTTCCGTGTTGGCCGTCGCAGATTCTTGTTCCGGTCCCGAGCCGGAGTCGGAGTTGCTGGTGCTGCTGGATTCGAGGATGGCGGTCTGCGTGACAGAGTCGACGGACTCGTGCACGTGCTGGCGCAGCAGTCGCGTCTCGGGCGCGAACGGCGCCTCGGCCGACACAGAGCCGACGCAGGCGACGGCCAGGAGCAGCAGCAACAAAGTCGCGAAGCGGAGCTGAGGTCCAGCCATGTCGGAATGCAAATATATTCGGAAGTGTGCGCGAGTGGCCAAACTTCTTCAGGCTTCACTCGCAGTGTCAGGTGGTTCAGCTGCTGCACAAGAGAGGCGGAATTCGAGCAGATTAATAATTCCAGATGGGACGGGATGGGTCGAATATGTGGATGTATCTATGGGGACAGACCAGACTTCCAAATCCAAATCTTGGGCGTCGTCGTGGGGTGATACTGCTCGACAGCACGACCAGTGCTGCGGAGGTTTATGGGCGTGCGTTTGCCTGTTGCGTGTGGCTCGAGCCGCTCTACTCGCACTGTCCACGTTGGACATTCATCGGCGCTACGCAGGATGCCCACCGAAGTCGGCGAAGGCGGCATAAGGTCTGTCGATCCGTTGTGTGATTCGGCACTCCTTTGCAGGTATTAATTTAAACACTGTTTAATAAACCGAACATGCCGGAACAAACGATCGCTGGTGCAGCGAAGTCGGCATAAGATCTGTCGATCCGTAGTGCGTATCGGTGCTCCTTTGCAGTTGTTAAACAAAGCATGTCGGAGCATTGTTTAACTAACAACCGCAAAGGAGCACCGATACGCATTACGGATCGACAGGTTCCAGCCCATATAAACGATCGCTGTACAGCAATACAAGTTCGCTCTTCGTAACCGATCTGGTAAGCAATTGCAGTCAGTCGGAGAGCGCGACCGCATTGCTTTTTTTTAGTACGGCTGACACTTGAACTCCGCGATGACGGCGCTGCTTTTCTCGATCCGTTTTACGCGTATAGTGCTCAAGGAAAAAAAGCTTGTGGTTGCCGAGGCAAAAGGAAAAAGTACACTGGCACATACTGCGTCACAGCAAACAATGAAACACCTATGGGATCACCGCAATGCGCTGACAAAATACCAGGCCTGGGTAGCTTATCGGGTCGCGATAGCGCAAGTGTATTCGGCAGCCTATTGTCGGTCTGTGGATGGATTGTAGCTCGACCAACTACAGCATCAGTGTGCGCTGAGGCGCGCGCCACTGATGGCAGATACGGTTGAGACACCGGCTTCAAGAATGGCTTTTCGAGAGGGCTGGAACCGTAATGATATGGACGAATATGTTAGATTATCGGACCATACTTGAACTTTGTATAGGTGAAAATTTGCCAATTAACTACCATCATTTAATTTTAGCCAATCACAGCTAATAACAATTGAATATTTAGCCAATAGGACACTGTAGGTGTAGGTGAGTCACC